CACACACACACACACACACACACACACACACACACACACACACACACGTTTTTTTATGTGGATTCGGGAAATCTGAACTCAGGTCCTCATGTTTGCAGAGTAGGCACTTAAAAATGACACATCTCCCCAGCTGCTTTTACTTATTTACCATTATTTTTGAGACTTGGTCTTTCCATGTAGATCAGGCTGCCCTTGAACTCAAGAGATCTGCCTGCTTCTGCCTCCAGAGTGGTGAGATTAGTCCTATGCCACTACACCTAACCTACATTTAAAATTTTTATCCAAGTGCTAAAACCATTTTTTAAACAAATTCTATAACAAGTTACATAAATTCAATCAGAAGAGAATTAGTATTACAGAGCTAAATGTGGAAAACTACAGCTGTTACTCTAAAACTCAAAATGCTGACTGAGTGAAGTTTAGAACCCTGTAGTCACCTGACCAACTTCGTAGCAATCCAGACTTAGGTAGACAGGAGTCCTGCCGGGATGAACAGCCACAACAGTTGTAATGACTTTCACGAAACCCAGCAGGTTGCAGATTTTGATAAATCAGAGGAAATGCAAAAGAGCTACAGGCCAACCAACCAGACCCATGTGACCTGAGCAGGCTCTCACGCTGCATCTGTACCAAGAGGAGACAAGCACCTCAGAATACAGACACTTGTGTGTAACCAGAAGACTTGCCGTCATCACTGACAAGCACAATTTTAAGTCTGTCACAACAGACTTAAAATTGTCCATGCACAAGAAGTTAATTTGGAATAAAACTTGGTTTGTTGTTGTTTTAAAGATTTGTTTATTATTTATACAGTATTCTGTCTGTGTGTGTGCCTACACACCAGAAGAGGGCACCAGATCTCATCATAGATGGCTATGAGCTATCATGTGGTTGCTGGGAATTGAACTCAGGACTTTTGGAAGAACAGCCAGTGCTCTTAACCTCTGAGCCATCTGTCCAGCCCTTTTCTGTTTTTTTGAGACAAGTGTCTCACCGTGTAGCTCTGGCTGTACTGGAATGCATTATGTAGACCAGGTTAGCCTCTAACTCCAAGAGATTCACCTACCTCTGCCTCCCAAGTATTGGGATTAAAGGCATGTGCTACAAAGCCTTGGGTTCTTTTTAAACCTAACAAAAGTGTATTTTGTTTCTGTGTATGGGTATATCACCTGTCTATGTACCACCCATGTGCCAGGTGATGTCAGAGCTCAGAAGAGAGCACTGGGTCCGCCAGAACTGGGGCTGCTGCAGTACAACTCCATGGGCATGCTGGAAACTAAACCCAGGTCCTTTGCAAAATCAACAAATGTTCCTAGCCACCAGGCATCTCTACAGCTTGAAAAATGCAACTCCTAGTCCTTCCCTCCCCCTGCCCAAGACAGGATCTCACTCTATAAGCTTTCAAAGTCATTATGTAGACCAGGCTGGCCTTGAACTCACAGAAATCCAAATGCCTCTGATTCCTCAGTGCTGAGTTTAAAGGCTTGTATCACCATGCCTAGCTCAACAATTAAAATTTTTAAAAAGCCTAATTGTGGTCAAACTTTTCTGTATTTTTGCTGTTGTTTTGAGACAGGTTTCCTTATACAGCCCAAGCTGAGCTGGAATTCACTAAGTACATCTGGCTAGCCTTGAAGTCATGCCACCACACACAATTCTGTTTTCACTGTCGTTCATCTGTTTTAACTGTTCATCTGGAATTACCTACAACATCTTTGACTATCATAACTGGCTAAGAACGCTGCTCAGCATCATGATATGCACAGAATAACTGCTTACCGCAGAGCCACCCAGCCCCACTTGCTAAAAAAGCTACCACAAAAGTAATGAGACTACTGACCCACAGAAGGGACAGTAACACAAACATGACATCGAGAAAGAAGTCACTGTTGCATAAAACAATATTCTATTTCATGTGTAAGAGAAAAACAAAATGTGCAGGTACTATTTTTTGAAATGGAAGTTTTGGTTTCTTTGTGTGTTATGTAAATATGCTTTTGTTTTAATCTCAAGTGTGGGATTTTAGTTGGGCTATAGTTTGTCACACCTATTAATTGTCATGTGTGGGGTGTGATCTTTGCCAGCTGGTAAAGGCCTTCCACATGCATGGAGAGGGGCATGGTCCAGGACTAGGAGAATATAAACTTGAGAGGCAAGAAAGAGAAGATGTGGCGCTTGGCTGTTGGCGTGTGGCAGGAAGCAGTTTAAAGAGACCAGAGATGGTGTGGTGGTTTGGAGCAGACAGACGGAGAGAAACGCTTTGGGGCGCAGCGTTGTGGAGGAGCCTGCTGACTGTGTCTGCTATTGACAGAAATTGGAATAGAGCCCTAAAAGAACACCGTGACCCTAAATAGCTAGAATTAAAGGGGTTTGGGGCCCCTCTCCCCACTAACCTTTTCTCTCTCCTACTTAAGGTTGGGGGGTTGGCAGAAGGGAGGTAGAGGCCTAAACACCCCAAGTAAAGGAGGACTTATAAAAAAAGCACTACAACTTTTCAACTATTCCACTTACGAGAACTCAAGGTGAAAAAAGTGATGAAAACCTGTTACACGTCACTTGAGGTTAAGGCAGGGGAATCATAAATTTGAGGATGTACTAGACTGGAATATACACAGAGACCCTAAAAAGTAACGATGATGATAATGATGATGTATGGGAGGAGGGGTGAAAAGGAAGAACACAGAGAGCTCAGGTCTGTTTTCTGAGTAGGGAACAAAAAGGGAGGAGCTCATCAGATTACTCACTGCTCTCTTCTGAGACTACCATGTGGTAGCGCCTGCAGGTATGAAGTAAATAAATATAAGTAACTGGTGGGCTGTGCACGAACAGCAACACTGTGACATGATTTAGGAAAGACAGGTTCTCACTGCGGCTAGACACAAGGTTGCTGAGCCAACACCTGCAGTGGGTAATGAGCCTACACCCATACAGCAACCCAGAACATCACTTCCAGAAACTCACTCACACACACACACAACAAAGCCACAGAAAAGACATTCAGAGTGCTGGAGAGATGGCTCAGCAGTTAAGAGCACTGCTGTTTGTTCTTCCAAAGGTCCTGAGTTCAGTTCCCAGCAACCACATGGCGGCTCATAACCATCTATAACGAGATCCGGTGCCCTCTTCTGGCCTGCAGGAACACATGCTGGCAGAACACTATAAATGATAAATAAATCTTTTTTAAAAAACTAGTAAAAAACAAAACAAAACACATTCATAGTGTTGCCTATGACCACAAAAGCAAACAAACCCCTTGGTTGTAAATCTCCGCAGAGTCCTTTGAAGGTCTGTCATCATCTCCAAGAACTGTGTGGAAAGCTGGTGCCAGGCAACATAGTCCCATATCACTACACGTGTCACTTACAAAGAGGTTACAAAAGCAGAGCCATAAAAAGTAATTCTAGCCGGGCATTGTGGTGTACACCTTTAGTCCCAGCCCTCAGAAGGCAGAGACAGGCAGATGGATCCCTGAGTTTGAGACCAGCCTGGTCAACAGAATTAGTTCCATGACATCCATGGCTAGACAGAGAAACCTTTTCTCAAAAACAAACAAACAAACAAACAAAAAACAAAACACCCAACTAAGTAACTAAATTAATTAATTATTAATATTTTTTTTAAATCCCGAAAAAAGTAGTTCACATTTAAGCTGAGACACCTCAGCTAAGGTCAATGAGGTTGCTAAAAAGTTGAGTCAATTCCTGTGCTTTCCGAATGTCCAAGCTATACAACCAGGTCCCCAGAATAGTACACATAAGAAGCACAACCTAAAACATAGAATCATTATTAAACTGGAGGTTCACATATACTTGAGCTACTAAAATAAATGCGAAACAAAATTTATATACTGTTCTAACCAAAAGTGAAGAAGAATGCAACAGAGCCCAGTGCTTTTAGAACTAGGAAGGCTACCCAGGCAGACACGGGGCAGGAGAGGGCCTAGACACAATGCCTTCCTGATAGGGTCAAAGAAGAGGGTTCCCTTAATAAATATGAAACAATTTCCTCACCACTTGGACAGTGTGCAATAAGAGAAATATTTTTAGGAGAACATAAGCAAAAATGAGGCATGGTGGCACTCACCTTGAAGGTGCCCAGGGCCAAGAATCACCATGGAGTTAGAGTCTTTCCTCTCAGATCCTTTGATGTTGTACCCTCTGCTTTACATATGGTTCTTGCTATGGGCATGCCCTCCATGGGCGTTGGGATTAAGGCCCACAAGACAAAGACTTGCCTTTTCAATGAGAGGTGGGACTTGGTT